TTGGAATTTTTAACGTGTGCAATACGATCTGAGGTCATCAGCTTTCGAAAAAATTTTTTTTGTTTTTGTTTATGTTGTTGTTGTTGTTGTCGTCGTCGTAATTTTATTATTTTTTATATGCCATAGAAAATAAAAAATTATTTATTTCTGTCGGAAGGTTTTCCCAACAATCGAAATGAATAAAATTAACGAATTTAAATATTGAAAATTTCGATTATTATTATTATTGTCGTCAACGCGTGCATCATTTCGAATGTTTTATTCGTGATAAAAATCGAACGTTTTCTCTTTTGGAATTTATTCAAAAAAAAAAAAAAAAAAATTTTCTAAACGTAATCCTCTAGGTTTCCCCTTAGCCTCATTCATGGGCAAATAAGGATTTTCGCTACTAGAACCCTCCTCCCCCACCTCTTTTGTTAGAAAAAATAAAAAAATATATGTACGAAGAATGATTGTTAAAAAAACACCAAACGACAGAATTTTCCTCTTGTCATTTCAAACTTTTGGTTATTAAATGGATGTTTCAATAAAAAAAAAAAAAAAAAAAACCTTTGTTGTGCCCGAGGGTGGCAATTTGCAAAAAAAAAAAAAATAATAATAATAAAAAAATAAAAAATGAATTTCTGTTTTTTTTTTTTTTCATTTGAGAAAAAAAGGAAAAAAAAACCCGGAAATTTGTTCAAGTTTGTAATGTCAAACCCTTTTTTTCTTCGTTTCGAAAAATTTCCGTTAATTTCAAAAAAATAACGAACTTTTTTTTGTAACTTTAACGTTATTGTTTTTTTCATTTGCTAATTTTTGCTTTTTCGTTTGAAAAACGACATGCTGACGAACGCGAAAACAAAAAAAAAAACAAAAATGGTGAAAAATAAGCTGAAATAAAATTTTACATATAACAATAAATTTTTTTACGAGTTTTTCTTTTTTGTGCGGAATCATTGTGACGTCATTTTAAGCTGTGTGAAATTTTTTTTTTTTTTTTTCGGTAATTTATTTAAAAATGAGTAACTGGGGGAAACGATTGACGCTTACACCCCTCCCCCTATTCCCCCCTTTTTAAAAACCAAAAAAAATTAATTAATTAATTAATAGCATTTAACGAGAACACGCATTTAACGGTATAGAAAATTAAAATCACATTATTAACTATTTATTTATTTATTTTTCTTATTGAACGCCATTAAAATATGATTTGTTCATTTTTTTTTTATGATTTTTTGTTTAAAATAAATTTTCGATTCGAATTCGAATTCGAAAAAAATAAGAAAAGAATTAAAAATTTGACTTGAAACCTCTTTATTACGGATCGTTAAATTAATAATAAATAGAGTGTCAAATTGTTGTTAATTAAAGTTAACAAAAAAAAAAAAGTTAGAACCACGTTATAATTTTACTTGCCATTTTTTTTTTTTTTTTTTATAACTTTTAAGGTTAGTAAAGATTTAAGGGATGAAAAATATAGTTGTGAAGGGTTTGTAGTTATTGGAAAATACCATTTTATATAAATTTACAAGGGAATAAATAAATGGTAGGAAATTGAAAAGGTTGGAATTGTTTTGTGTCGCGAAAGAAAATCAATCACAAAAATTTTTTTGTTTGTTTGTTTGTTCGTTTGTTCGATTTCTCTCTTACCCATCTTCAAATGTAACATTTTTCCCGAATTTTTTTTTCACTTTGTTTCCGTCGTCGTTTGTTTTTATCCAAGTAATTTTTTGATTGCAAGATAATATTTCTCCCATTTTCGGTTAATTGCGCGTTTTTTTTTTTGTTCGTTAAGTAACATGAGAAGACATCACAATAGGAATAACATTGACACTAAAAACAAAAAAAATTCTAAATTTTAATTTTTTTTTTATCGTGTGTGACACAAAATTCTCACGTGAATCACATTGAAAAAATAAATGAAAATTCTCGCGCGCGTACGCATAAACTCACTGATATTAATTAATTAATTAATTAATTTAAAAAAAAAAAAGTCATGTTAAAATAATAATAATGATAATAATATCGAATTGTTTAAATAAAAAAAAAAAAAAAAATTATATTCCGGTTACGCGCACACTTTCTCACACTTCTACTACCGAAGACAATTAAATACTAATTAAATTTTTCGTTCTTAATAATAAAAAATTTTTTTTTTTTTTTTACGGAGATTGATTTTAGTTAGATAGGTTTAAGGTATCAGTGGCGGCTGTTAGGTTTGCGCAAAAAAAAAAAATTTGTTTTTAACTTTTGGCAAAATGAAATTGATAATAATGATGGCGGAAAGGAAAAATAAAATTTTTGAAATAATTTTCTTTTTTTTTTTATTGTAACGAATTCGAAAGTCTTTCGTTTGTTTTTTTTATTTTTATTTTTATTTTTATTTTCTTTTATAATGTCGAAGAAAAGAATCATCATTATTATTATTAAACCGATAAAAAACTTTTGAATTTTCCTTTTTTTTTTTTTTTTTTTTCGTTATTTCCGTGTATTGAATCTTTTTTTTATTCGACGTAACGACGTAAAAAAAAAAAAGTTATTATTATTACTCGTTATTATTAAGTCCGTTTTTAAAGTTTTTCTTCTTATTCTTCTTCCACGTTTATTTTTTGAAACGTATTCTTCCCGTAAAAAAAAAATCTGTCATAATTTTTATTATAATTAAAAAAAAAAAAAAGAGTTAAGAACGTTTTTGTTTTTTTTTCTAAAAAATAATATGAAAAATAAGTTGAGAGAGAGAGAGAGAGATTATTCGCGATTACGTTTTACCAAATTAAATAAATAATTAATTTTTATTTTTGTAAATTAAATGCGGAAATTATTAAAGTCAGTCAGGTTTTTTGAATTAATAAATTACGTTTGAACGAGGGTCGTGTAAAAAGAAAAAAAAAGGGTTAAAAAGATCAAGGTGGAATCTCATTTATTAAAATAAAATCACACAAACGCGTTTTTTTTTCTTAAAGAAAAAAAAAAATTTTTTTGCGTGTTTGTGCGTGAAATTTATTTTTTTTTCTACTACTAATTTCGACCTTTTTCCTATTATTATTAAACGGTTTAAACTTTTGGAAAAAAAAAAAGTTTACACGTTTTCTTCTTATTTTCTTTTCTTCGGACTTAAATAAAAAATGTAAACTTCAATTCGTTTTCTTTCGTTTTCTTTTTAATACTTTTTACTCAGCTGTCGGTTTAAGGGTAATAAATCTCTTTCTGTCGCATTAAAAAAATTATTATCCATTTATGTGTTGCCTTAAATTAATAAAAGGGAAAAAAGAAAGGAAGGAAGGAATGGAAGGAGAAGGAAAAAATTTTTTTTTTTTTTTTTGCGAAAATGCGAATAAAATATTTTTGTTTGTTTTGATGTGTGGATTTAAGGGTAGGAATTGTAAGAGTAGGGGTTAATTTTTACCCTGTTATGTGTTTTAATTTTTTTTTTTTTTTTTTTGTTAAACGTGGTAAGTTTTGGGAAACGTTAATAACAAGTTGATAATTTCGAATTTTTTTTATTTTTTCTCCTTTAAGGGTTGAACGCGGGTAGTTTTACCCGGAGTAAAATTTTCTTCTCCTCCAATCGATTCTGATCATTACTCCTTTTAAATTTTTTTTTTTTTTGTCACGAATCGACAAGGGCCTTCCATTTTATCGTATCATGACCTTACTTATATAAAATCTTCTTCCAAAAAAAAAAAAAAATTCATGAGAATTTCATTTTCCGATTTCCTGATTGAAAGAAAAACCTAAAGGGGGCGATCGTTAAATTTAAAAATAAAAATAAAAAAGCTTTTCTC